CTATACACAAGGTATTAAACATATGTTTCATCTCCGACAAGTGTCAAGTTATACTATCATTGCTTAGCAAAAATTATGAAACCAAAAATGCATAAATGCACCCCCAAACTTGAATGACACATTGTCCTCAAGGTGTGAAGATAAGCATACCAAAATAAGAGCAAAAAAGGGGGGAAAAGAACAATAATACCAAGTAGAGTGACGACGACGTAGATGTTCAGCTATGTGAGTGCGCAAAAGCGTCCCCCAAACTTGGACAGGAAGACCTGTCAAAACACAACTACTATACACAAGTAAAAGCATAGGCTTTTAAAAAAAACAGTCACATATATATAGAGTTTTTTTTAAAAAAATTTAAAATTTAGCTTCTTTTTTTTTTTTTTTTTTTTGGTTGGCATGGAGGCATGGCTCGGGTGGAGAGAGAGAAGGTTTGTGGGTGATGGGTTGGGTGAGTTGGGAGCCGAGGTGGTGGGTGAGTGAGGAGTTGGCTCCGAGAGTGGGGATGAAGTGAAGGAAGAGATAAAATGAAGTGGGTTTAAAAGAAAGGAGGTGGAGCTTGGTTCGAGCACTCGAAGTGGGTCTTCGAGTGCTCGAAAATCCGGCAGTGGGCTCGGCTGTTATAGTTGGGGTTTGCATGGTTGTGCATGGGCTGCGTGGTGGGTTGAGAGAGAGAGGAAGGTTGATTTGGTGGAAGGGTTGTAAGGTTGATGAGATGTGGAGAGGGAGGCCGAGAGTTGGGAGATAGGTGGTTGAGGGGGGCATTTGCTTAGCTTGGTGGGAATGGGGTGGTTGAGGTTGCATGGAGGTCGTGGTTGATGGTTGACATGGTGAGGTGGTTTGTTGCATTAGGTTTATTGCATGGTGGGCAGTAGGTTGGTTGTGGGTGGTGAGGACCTGGTTGGATGCAGGGTTGGTAAGGCATGCATAGGGTGGGTTTGCATGGTTGGGTTGGAGCTTAAGGGTGCCGAGAGGTGAAGAGGGATTTTGGTGGTGCCGAGAGGTTGAGTTTGGAGGATGGTGTGCATGGTTGCCGAGAGAGGTATAGTGGATTTGGGAGAGGTGAGCATGAGTTGGAGGGTGGTTTGGGGAGTTTGGTTTGAAGTGGGTTGCGTGGGAATGCATGGTTGTTGGGTTGATTCATGGTGTATGGTTTAGGTTACAGGAGAGAGACCGAGAGGGTGTGAGAAGTTGGTGAAGCTTGAGGAAGGGTTTTGGGGTGTTGCAGCAGGTTGGGTTGATGGTGGAGGAGAGGGAATTGAGTTGTGGTGGTTTGCAGCCGAGGAGGGGTGGTTTGCAGCCGAGGAGGGGAGTTGAGGTTGAGTGAGATTGGTGGGGCTTCGGGGTTTTTAAAAGAGAGGGGGTAAGCTTGGTTCGAGCACTCGAAGTTGGACTTCGAGTGCTCGAAAGATGGGCAGAGAGTTGGGAACCGAGGGGTGAGAGAGGTTGAGTGCTCGGGTGGTGAGTGAGAGAGCTTGGGTGAGGTTGAGAGGGGATTCGAGCACTCGAAATTGGACTTCGAGTGCTCGAAAAATTGGCAGTGGCTGCGGAACTGAAAGGGTGAGAGAGATTGAGTATGAGATTGCTTGGTGGTGAGGTTGAGAGTGCTCGGGTTTGTGGATGAAGGGGGTTCGAGCACTCGGAATGGGTTTGAGAAAGCTCGAAAATTGCAGCCAAATTAAAGTGAAGCTTGAAAACTAAAGCACTCGGCCTGGAGCTTGAATGTTGTTGCATGGCCATGCATGAGCTTGCATGGATGGTTCAAGGAATGAGATCATTAATACATAGAAGCATAAAGAATTTGAGCAGTGGGCTCGAATAGGAAGGAATGCATGCATCAGAGAAATGCATGCAACCATGCATGAAATATAGAAATGCATGAAATGCATGCAAGCAAGGAACTTTGCGGATCATGATAAAATTTTTGAGGAGCATGAAATTCCTATGCATGCAATGTTGATGGATTCAAGCCAATGTATGGGAAAAATTTAAACGTTGTAACATCCTCTCATTCAAATGGATGGAAAATTTGAAAAGAACTCTCTCTTTTCTTTTCTTTTTTTCTTTTTTTTTTTTTTTTTTTTTTTTACTTTTCAAACTTTGCAATTTCTAATGCATGGAAAAATTGCCAACTTTCAAAACATCACACAAAGCATGGGTGGATGTAAGAAAATTTTCAAACCTTTGCAACATCACACAATGCATGAATGAAATTTCTGGAGAAAATTTTAAACTTGCAAATTCATTCCATTCCAATGCATGGGAAATTTTGAAAGTTTTGTTTTGAAACCTTGCAATTTTTTAACTTTTTAATCATCTCAAATGCATGAAGAATTTTGAGAAAATTTTCAAACTTTTCATTAAAAATGAGAAAATATGCACATGAGTCGCATTTGAAAAATCTAATGAAATTGCTAGAAAGCGATGGAGACTTCCGGGAATGAAAATTAGAGTTGAGAAGGTCTAAGAAAAATCAAATTTTTGGCTTTTCTAAACCGTTTCCCAGAAAATTTTGCAAGGCACGAGCAATTTCAAAGAGAAGGAAGCTTGGAAATTGAAAGAATTACTTCCCTTGAGTTGCTAAATTTAATGTCGATAGCTAGACGAAGTTAGAGCAGGCACTAATCCTCAAAAATCTCGATAGCTAGACACACCGAGATCAAATTAGTCCTCCTTACCCTATACCATGTCTCTCTAGAGATTCAAGCTTCCCTAAGTAAGAAAGTTCTTTTGGAAGCGGAAGGAAAAGACCTTGAAGACAAAAGTTGGAAAGAGGTAATGGAAAGACCTCAATCCACTCTTCATCCTCAATGAAGAACTTTGGACTATGGGGCTGATTTGGATTATAGGAAGATGGAGTAGGTGAGAGTGCACCTAGCAAAGGCTTTTGAAGGGTCATATTGAGCACGGGAATGCTCGACAACTTATCCTTCAAAATTTCAACATCCTCCTCACACTTATCCGGCGGTTCGGGCTCAACAACTTGAGACAACTCAAGTGAGGAAATGGGATGAGATGCAAGCTCCCAAGAAAGAGATACATTTGATGTTGACCAAGGAAGAGAATGAATAGGTGGATGAATATTAAGTAAAGAATTCACCTCCGAAATGGAATTGTCAACATTAAAATCCTCACAATTGAAATGAGCCAAACAAGCTTTTAGAGGATCCTCCATTGAAGGAGGTGCATCAAGCAAAGGATTATTTAGGGGTTGTTCTGGAGTTTTAAAGGATGCAATCTCATCATCTTTTTCCTCATTTTTAACCACAAATTCTTCCATTTTATGAGTAGCAACAATTTGATTTTCAACCACCATTTCATCATTTTCATATGTGATGACCACTTGATCATTCTCATGATGAAAGTTACTAGGAGTAATCTCATCATTCATAGAATTTTCTTTTGGATTGGCCACAAGTTCAATGGAAAATTCTTCTTCATTTCCATGATTTAGAGCATCAACCATTTGTTAAATTTGGGCTATTTGGTCATTTAAATCAACTCTAAATTGGGAATGAGAATGAGTGGTGGATTGCATGCTAACAATGTCATCCAACATTTGCTTGTTGGACTCCATCATTTGCGTGTGCATAGACTCCATCATTTGGTTGTTAGCAACAATTAACTCATCCAATGGAGACGGTGGAAAAGGAGAAGAGGGCGGGAAAGAATGATCATTGGGTTGAAAAGGTTACATATGAGATTGTGGGGTTGAATTTCCTATGTCATGCCACAAGAAGTTTTGTTGGTCTCCCCAACCCGAGTTATAACCATTGAAGTATGGATCACTACCCGGTTCAAAAAAATTTTCATTTGGTTGCTCTAGATAGAAGTCCGAGAATTGTCTCGTTGGAAGACATTCTCTTGTATGATGTGTATGACTAGAGCAAAATGCACAAAACTCATGTGGTGTGTAGAATTGAGTTGGAAGATAACTACCCTCCATCTAGGACAACAATTCTTTATCATCAACTCCACATATAATGATCCCTTTCTCCTCAATTATCAACAAGATAAGAAATAAATGGCCACGAAAAGGACCGATGCTTTGCAATATAGTAAAACAAAAATAGCCTCGACAAGGGCTTCACAAGCTAAATTAAACACATACACAATATTCACAATGCGAAACTAGAAGTCAAGAGACTTACCTGGGGGCCTCTAGACTTACAATTTGCTAGTGTTCCCACGGCGAGTTTTGAGTCCCTAGAATCTCACAAACACGAAGATGATAAAAAATACACAAGGAGTATTCACAAGACACAATATTCACAATCAAACTAAAATTAACCCTAGAACTTTGGTCGCTAAACCGTTTGTAGTCCCCGGCAACGGCGCCAAAAATTGATCGGTTGGTCAATTATACATCAACCTTCGCAATAGCACGAATCATTGTAAAATAGGGCTATTGGTCAGGTAAGTCGAACCACTGGGACTGCGCTAGTCTATGGCAACCTAAGTGTCTAGAATTGTTCTTAGAGTGATGAGGTGTAATAAAGAGTTGTTGATTGTTTGTCACTTATACTATGAATTGAAATATGCATTAATGAACAACTTGCAAGAATTTAAGAGATGAAAGACGAGTAAAGAAGACTAAGGAAGTGAATCCGCCTCCATCCCTATACACATGCTAGATTAGACCTAAATTAGGGGAAAAACAACATATGATGGTCAAGAACTACATAGTAACACATAGTTGCCATGTAAGTAATCAAGAGGTACATTAGGTCTCAAACAAGTATAATCCATCAAAAGGGTAAACATGTTTAGACTACCTAACTAAGGTGTAGCTTATACACGTTTACTTAAATGAAAGACTATCAAATTCTTGACAAAATGATGAAGCACATGGAGCTAGAGATTAAGCATACACCATCAAAGGATTTCCTAAGCAATGGTCTATCAAAGTCACCTATCAACATGCCATTACATCATTTCATAACCTTGTTTCCATTCTCACCATGTAAACTCAAGCAAAAAGATTAATACAAGACATCGCCTAACATAAGATAATGAGCTTGAAGAAATCATCCATACATATATAAACATTCATTACACCAAATGAAGTGCTCTTAGCTATGAAAAAGACCATAAATATACATTGCAATCCCCCAATATAGACTACCCTAGGACATGCTTACAAGGGAGGGACTTCATCACCTCCCTAGAGAAAGAGTTAGTTACCCATTGCTAAGCTAGAAGAAGGAAGAAGCTCCATCCAAGACTCCATTTTCGTGCTCCTTCCTTTGCTTGAAGAACTCCTCCCTTTGCTCCCTTCTCTCTCCTCTATCTTGCTAGAATCCAGCTTAATGATATGTGTGGCCTCCCTCTCTTATCTTCTAGAGATAAGCCTCTAAAAACCCCCACCAACCAACATCTCCAACCAACCATTAAAGAGGGAAATTCGAATTGAGGAACCCAAGATGCAAGTGGCTGAAAATGGGCCATTTCCAGATGCAATTCTGCCCTAATTTCGAGCACTCGAAATAAGGGCTTGAGCACTCGAAATTGGAGCAGAATGCTCCATTCTTGCCTTGCTCCGCCCGTACCTACTTTGGTAAAATGGCCATAACTTTGTGTTCAGAACTCCAAATGATGAACCATTTAAAGATTTGGGAAGCTAATTTAGAGCTCTAAAAACTTTATGTTTTGGTGGAGATCCAATTCTCAAGTCTTGTTGGTCGAAAATGAAGATCAAGGCAGAATTTCATTGCTGCCAGGCAGTTCTGTGCACCTCTGGTAACAAGGCCATAACTCTCTGCTCCAAGCTCTGAATGACAAACCGTTTGAAGATTTAGAAAGCTAATTCAGAGCTCTAAATCTTTCATGTTATGATGAAAGTCCAGTTATTGAGTTTCCTAGGTCAAAAATGGTGACAAAAGTCAGGTTCCACTGCTGCCAAGCTTCAGCATTGTGCCTTTGCATTCAAAATTTCAACAAAACATCATTCTTGCTTCTTTTAAGCCAATGAACCTGAAAATAAACAAAAATGCACAAATGAAGATAATCTACATAATAAAATCAAATAATGGACTTAACTAATGCAATTTAGGGCGCTTGAATATGCAATATTCGGCGCTTATCAAGCAACCACTTCGCCTTTCGTTTTTCAATGTTTGGAAGTGCAATGGCTATACTTGTAAGAGTAACCACAGGAAGAGACCAACAATTGGAAGGTTCTCTAAAAGCTAGAGATGGAACTTGGTGACTGTCAAACTTTTTCACCCCAATGAAGGTTGTAGATTGATCTAAAAGCTCTTTCAAATATTTTGGCTACCGCTTTTTACCCTTCTAAATAAAATGATTGGTAGCATCCCTATTGTTCTTCATAATCTGTAAAGGCAGTTCCTACTCACCTTCGAGATACAAAACATAAGGACTGAAATCTAGCTCTGTACCATGCCCTGATTCTAATCTCGTGTGATTGCTTAAGGCAGTATGTTTAGATATGATCTTCTAAATTAACTCCTCGTACAAGTTCCAAAATAACATGAATGGGCTTATTAAGATCAAATAGATAAGCACAAATAATATTGTTAGCCAAGACGATCACAACTAATTTTGCTAGCCAAGACAATCACAATCTGGACTGCTATACAGAAGTCCAGAATTAGATTTTTTGTGATGTGAACAAGTTTTCTGAATTTTTGGCTCCCGACTCGTAAAGCTAAAGGGCTCTCTTTCCACTCTAGTAGCATTTCGATCCAATAATTTTCTGTTTTCAACTCAGTTTTGTAGCTTTTCACTCTTTCCTCTTTGCACCATAATCTTATGGCGGTGAAACATCTAAATGTCGGGGCAATTGTACCTCCTATCACACCAAAAGATTAAATCACAAGAACAATAAAGGCTGACCACCTATAATTTGATCTAACGTTGCTTGGATTAATATAGTAGTTATCGTCGCGAATAAATATTCTGTGGTGCGCTTCTGCCAAAGTGAATGCAGCCAAGAAACAAATTGTCCCCGAAGCATAACAGGTAATTGAACGAGCCACAACGAACTGAGGGCTACTAGATTTTCTATCATCCAGTATTTTTTAACATTTACTTTCAATTTTTCAATCGTGAACTTTTCGGTTTCCTGCAATTCTGTGAAACAAGAGTTACGCAGGGTGCGAAAACAGTTGATTTTAATTGTGATTAACTCCTTTAATAACCTAGATTGATTATTAGGTCAACTTGCTTAATTTATGATTGATTAAATTGCATGATCAATTAAGCATTCACAATCATAAATATAAATACTGAAAAGTAAAGCAAGTTAAGTTTAGAGAGATTGCACCAGGATTTTTAGCGAGGAAACCCCAGTTGATAAAATACGTCAACTATTATGAGAAAAACCTCGTGAACTATTCAGTCTAAAGTAAACCAATCCACTATGCTTGAAACAAAGTATACCGAACTTTGACTCTGGCTCACACCCTATCGTTCTACACCACACCAACCGCTGACGATCCTCTGGCTTTACGACTCTTCGTCCAACAGCAACTTGATCTCAGACCGACACTTGATATTTGTAGAAGAGTAATAGGTAGATCAGACAACACTCCACGAATGCTCCAACCCTTTCAAAGTGTGATTGCATTTACTTCTCTTCTTCAAGATCTAAACTCCATTATAGAAGAATTAAATCCTTTTTCTCATCTGGAATATCTGAATCTTCAATATAGCTCCAATTCCGATGAGATAGAGAACAACACCATTAAATCACTCATGAATATATGTGTATGCTCTCATAAATAAATTCAGAATAATCAAATTTGATTTTTTGAATTTTCTCTCTCTAGAAGGCTTTCTCAAAATATAGAATTGATTTTCCCTCAAGCCTCGAATAAACCAATGTATATGACATGATTTATATAGAGTTTTGAAAGCCCTAATCCCTTAGAAAATATGATAAATTTCGTGCATAAGACTTAGAAGGAAGTTGGGATAAAAAAGGTAACATTCAGAAGAAGGAAACTGAAGTTAAAATAGTACCAAGACGTCTTGAACCTGTTCGATAAATCTTGAACCGGTTCAAGATGGACAGACTCTAAAATTGCCACTCTGCTGAAGTTGAACCTGTTCAATAAATTTTGAACCAGTTCAAGTTAAACCTGTTCGATAAATCTTGAACTAGTTTAAGATGGACAGAATGTAAAATCTTGTTTAAAACCTTTCAAAAGCCTTCCTAAATGTTCTCACTACCTCTTAAAACATCTTATAACATTGTTCTCATCATCTTGGAGTGTAGTATATCATGAACACTTGACCTTCTTCAAATCCGCATCCGATCTTCCATCTTTGAAATTTGTAACCGAAAAATTACAACTCGATCGGACTTGTTTTGAGAACGAAATTAGCCAATTACAAAAATATATCTCACAAATTCTTCACTCAAAATTGTTTCGTGTCTACCATCATACTTCAGTTGAAGACACTTTTTAGTGGTGGAAACCATCAAAGCTGAGAAACTCAACAGTACAAGCAAAACAAGCATGAATGATATAGCTGCAATGTGTTCTATCTCGAAAGAAGGATTTATTAGTTGAGTATTTAATTGGATGTAAATATTAACAAAAATAGTGATCACGAGAATTGCCAAGGCTGTTATGTTCATGAAAATTTCTGTGTCATTCATAGCTCCTATAGATGGCATAAAATTACCTGTCACTGTAGACATCAAGGTGGTGCTGGTAAGTTTCGCCAGCTGATCCAACTCGCCTGGCATAGTGGTACTCAGATCCACTGGCAGCTTCATTGTTACAGCTAGTAATGTCAAGGAAGCAGCATTGAGAGTGAAAAATTTGCATGGAAACCAGAGTTTTCTGTGGCGAAACCCATGGAAGACGTCAGCAACCATTGCAAGGGAGAAGACTAGAGATGCTGCTGTAGCACAGATGCCGATCCACGGCATTGGTGATTCCAATCGATGTTCCTCTTCCTTGTTCTTAATTATCTCGGAGCAGCAGGATGCGCTTATATCACTGCAGTTGCTGCAAGACAGGAGGTGCCTTTCCAACATTGGATAGTAGTAATGGACGCAAATTGACATTTTTTTTTTGTTTTTCTTTTTCTTTTTTTCCTTTGTGAGCAAAGCTAGATCTTGGGTTGCAGTGTTTAGTCCTGTGAATGCTATATATTATATATATTCCAGGAAGCTTCTAGGAATGGGATTGGTGTTGCATTTCTCAAGTCAACTGGTGAACCATTTTTGCTATTTTTCCTCGAAGCTGTGGAAAATGTGAGCATGTCACTTTCATCGGTCAATCAAAAGAAGACTCAGAAAATTCAAAGGATAGACAAGACATTTAGTACTGTGGGCCAAAATTGAGAATGGTTTTTTGGAACTCACTGCTTTTTTGTTTTTTTACTAGTAGTTCATTGTGCTGGGATTGAGTGCACCTTTTAAGCTGAAATCTAATATTTAGTTTACATGTTTTACAAAATATATATATGTGTGTGTGTGTGTGTGGGGTGAATGCCTGATATTTGTTCGACTCTAGAGTTAAATCAACATTCTATTGATTATGTAAGTAGAGGAGGACTCCAAGACGTGTACCAAAAGCTCAAATAGTTTTTTTGGGCCATCCGAAACTTTCACTGAAACAGTGAAGGATTTGTCCGGGTTCATTTTATCATGACAAAAAAATTGTTATTCATCATTAAATTTAGAACCTACAACAAGAGAGCTGCTGACTTGGATTTTATTTTATTTAAAAAATATATATAAATAATAAAGACCAGTTAATAATAAAGACTCAAGAACCGAATATCACTTCTGTTGCTACAAAATCCAATGTTAATTTTATGCTTTTAAATATCATATTTATTTAGTATGTTTTTTTCCCCTCCCAGAATGTCACTAAAGCTACATGTGGTAATGAACAATTTCTGCTGTTTTTCCTTGAAACTGCGGGGAATGTCTCTTTCATAATCAGTGAAAGATCGAAAGAAAATTCAAGTATATTGTAAATATAAGAAAGAATATAAAAAGAGATAAAGAGAGAGAACTTTATTTATTTGGTGAAAGATCCAATTTAAAGAATTCTCAATCACATATCTTTAGTCACGAGTCACCGCTTAATACAGCAGTCAATTGCATTGCACATACATCACTAGACGAATGGCTTCTACACGCATCATTAGGTTTCTTCTACCGCCTCACTTACTTCTCCAATTAGCATTTATGAAGTGGAATTGGAGAAGTAAGACTCCTCCTTGGGATCCACTATACAACGCTAAGAATATGTCTTGTTAAAACATTGCTAAGAAAAAAAATTAAGTGGGATAAAAATTTAACAAGGAAAAAGAGTATAATATTCTTGTATGTCAGAAAAGAAAAGAGTGTTGCATAGGTTAGAACTACCTCATTAAAACCTTGCCAGGAAAACCCATTGGGACAAAACCTGTGCAACAAAAAAAGAGTACATTATATGTCAATACCTTTTCAATTAAGTACTCCCCCTTATCAGAGCCAAAGATCTGTAAGTTGTCGCATCACAATGTTGTGTATCAATTTCTTGAACGTCGTGGTTGGCAGTACCTTAGTGAACAAGTCCGCTAATTTTTCACATGAACGCATTTTTTGAATATCAATTTCACCATTATTTTGGCATTCATGTGTGTAAAAGAATTTGGGTGAGATGTGTTTCGTCCTATCACTTTTGATATAACCTTCTTTCATCTATGCAATGCATGCAACATTATCTTCATATAATATTGTAGGGCTATTTGTTATTGATGAGAGGCCACATGTTATTCTAATGTATTGAATTATGGATCACAACCAAATGCATTCCCCATTGTCCTCATGAATCACAAGTATCTCAGAATAATTTGAAGTAGCAATCATTGTCTACTTTATAGAGCACCATGAGATAGCAGTGCCACCACAAGTAAACACATACCTTGTTTGTGATCGAGCTTGATGTGGGTCAGAGAGATTACCAGCATCTGCATATCCAATTAACGGGGATTTTGATTCTTTTGAATAAAACAATCATATATCAATTGTTCCACGAAGATATCACAATATGTGTTTGACTCCATTCCAATGTCTACGAGTTGGTGTAGAATTGTATCTTGCTAATAAGTTGACTAGAAAAGCAATGTCAAGTCATGTGCAATTTGCAAGATACATAAGAGCACCAATTGCACTAATATATGATACTTTAGGACCAAGGAGTTCCTCATCATCTTTAGGAGGTCGAAAATGATCTTTCTTAACATCAAGTGATTGGACAATCATTGGTGAGCTTAATGGATGGGCTTTATCCATATAAAAACGCTTCAGAACCTTCTCTATATATGTTGACCGGTGGATGTGGGTTCCTCTTGATAAATGTTCAATTTACAGTTCCAAACAAAAAGTTGTCTTTCCGTGATCTTTCATCTCGAATTATTTCTTTAAATAAGTGGTAGTCTTTAGGAGTTCTTCAGAAGTTCCCACCAGATTCAAATCATCAACATATACTGCAATAGCAAAACCATATTTTGTTTTGTTATTAAAAATGCATAGACAAAGATGATTATTCACATACCCTTTGATAAGAGTCAAATATTGCATATTCTAGCGCCCTTATTTGCATTAGTTAAGTCCATTAGTTAATTATAATGTATTGTTTAGCTTTATTTGTTTATTTTCGTCTTCTTTCAGGTTGGTTCCCCTGAAATTGGTTAAAAGAATGGTTTTGACGAACTCTTGAAGAATCATAGCAGGTTGTTGCTGGGGACCGTCATTTGGACCAAGCTTCTTGAGTTATTATGCGTGTGAGTTTTGCGGTATAGTGCTTAGGATCAAGACCGCGTCAAACGGACTGATCCAAAGTGGCTCAAGAGAGGAGTGAAGGCTTTGAAGCAGAGCCCCGTGGGTGCCCACCAAACACTCTAGTGGCCCCTTATCCCGCGGGCCCCCGCCACAGACCCATGGGCCCCCGTCGCAGCACCACGGGGCCCGCCATTTGCTCCAGTGAGCTCCTTCATCATCGCAGCACCCGCGGGCACCCGCCGATCTGCAGATAGCAGATCACCTACTCCTGTTTTTGTGCTGAAACTTGTCCCCTTGACCCATTCTGTGGTTCTAAAATCTCCTAAGGTTGTTGAGCCACGAAAATGTGTGGTGAGGGAGTGTATTTTTGGTAGATAAGAGGCTTGAGGGTGGTATTATCACATATCTCACATTTTTACAAGTTTTAGAGAGAGAAATATTGTGAGTTGAGAGGTGTGGGTTGTTCTTGAGCTCTAGGTGCGAAAATGGAAGGGCTCTTCATCATTTCTTCTTCCTCCATTGCTCCTATGGGTAACTAACTCCCTATCTAGGGAGGTGATGAAGCCCTCTCTAGTAAGCATGTTCTAGTTTTGATTTTGTTTTGGGGGAAACAATGTATATTTATGACTTTTTCACAATTTAGAGCATTCATTTTGATGTAATGGACTCTAATCTATATAAATGATGATGTTGAAGTTCTTGTCTTGTCTTAGATTCTAATTTCTCATGATCATATAGCTTGTTTTCCCTAGTGACAATGGAATTGAGGTTGTGGAATGGTTTTAATGGCATGACGTGTAGGAAGTTTGATAATCTATAGCTTAGGGCCTTCCTTTGATAGATTATTCTTGATTTCTAACTTCATGTGCTTCTATTATGTGATTAAAGGCTTGATAATCTTTTGCTTAGTGAGCATCTAAGGTTGCATCCTAGTTTAGATAGCCAAAACATGTAATGCTTTGATAGGTTATTCTTGCCTATTGATTTCATAAATTTCTTGAAGGTAATGTAGCAATTTTGTGTTGTTGCATACCATGGTCATATACATATGTTGTTCTCCTAAGTAAATCATTCTCTAGCATGTTTAAAGGATAGGTAGTGGATTCACTTCCCTAGTCCCTTTTATATTATCTTTATCTCTTTAATTCCTTGTAAATTATCATTTTTATGCAATTTAAATCCCTAATTCTAGTGACAGCCCAAACACAACTCTATACCCCTTTCATCAAATCAAAAGTGAATTTAACGACCTTGGTTGCCATAAACTAGCAGTCCTAGTGGTTCGACCAACCCGTTAAATAGCCCTATTTTACAATGATTTATACTATTGCAAAAGGTTGATTTATTATAGATTGAGTCTCAAATCGATCACCCTTCTTATATTAAGTACTCGTTGAGGCGATTGTACCATATGCGCCCAGATTGCTTTAATCCATACAAGGATCATTATAATTTTATTGAGTATATACTGCGTGGTTTTGTTTTTGGCATTTTGAAACCATCAGGAATCTTCATATAAATATCATTATCTAGTGATCCATATAAGTATGTCATTACCACATGATAAGCGCCAAATATTGCATATTCAAGTGCCCTTATTTGCATTAACTAAGTCCATAAATTGATTATACTATATTTATTAACTTTATTTGCATACTTTTGTCTATTTTCATGTTGGTTCTCCAAAGAGAGTTAAAAGTGACGCTTTGATAAGTTTTTAAAAGATCAGAATACGCCGTTGCCGGGGACCGTCACTTTAGCCAAGTCAAGTGATCCATGGAACTTGTAATGACCCGGTCATTTTCATTTCTTTCCCTTTCTTCAAATTTTGCGGACAAATTTTTTCCATTGTCTTTTCCTTTTCGGGTTCGATTTCCCGCCTCTTAGTGTCATCTCGAGTTCTCGGAAATTGTTTCTGAGACTCTTTCCTTTGGATTGACAACTTCCTTTAAGGACCGAGTCATTTCCACATTTTTTTGTTTTTTGACATTTTTCATTTTTTCGTCTTTTCCCTTTTTCGTCCTTTAGTCGTTTTTCATTTTTCCTTGCTTAACCTTATTTTTTGTGCTCAGATTTGATTCCATGATATTTAAATTCCATGACATCTACATTTTTAATTTGGTAGAAATGCATATTAAATGCTTACTTTCTTTGTAAAAGCAATGAAAACAAGACTTTTTGTAATTATCCATAACTTGAAGGGTTTTTGCGTAATTAAGTAAAGTAATTATTTTTTTTATTAGGGACCATTTTGCAAATTAAATTGGAAGATATTTTCAAAAAGGACCTTTTTACAATTTTCAAAAAATGTGACAAGTGTCACATTCCTATGGTGCCACTTGTTCATTTTGTGGTGGAACCACTTGGAGGTTTAATCTCATGACACATGGAGGTTGGAGATTCACCCACTTGTTGTTCTAGAATTGGTGCACTTATTGGTATGGATGGTTGACAAGTGTAGGGTTAATATTTAAACTTGGAAGCTTACTTGGATTCATGAAAAGTGTAGGACTCACCTTTAGTCTTGCATTAGTGTG